CAGTTGCTCTCCTACCACTCAGTGCTTCCCTTTGCCTTGCATCCATGCCGTACTGACATGTCAGTGTCAGTGATAAGTCATCCACAATTTGACATCTACAGATGTTTTGTTGTATTCTAGGTGGGAATGTCCTTTCAAACCTTTCTGAGCCTTCTGTACCTATGAATCATGCCAAGAAGTACACTTCAGAGCAACAATGCAACGATTACTTCTATTTTGATTAGTTCTTTTTCTCATAACTGAATTGGAAGTTGGAAGGAAGGGTTCAGATTAGTCTATACTATCACAAGAAGTATGTGTAGTGAAACAGTTTGTAACGCTCATTTTGCAACTTTTAATACTCGCACAGAACTTTGTTTACTTGGGTTTCTATAGTTAAAGGCAAAAAAATTTTGAACCACTGTGCCTCAAGACTCTCGAGAAAGTCATTGACGACTGTTACTTGAAAGCGGCAAAAAATTCAAAATCGATTTGAAGCACTGAAAGTACCACCTTGGCCTGTATGCGGGCCAGGAGCACGATATGGTGTGGCACGCCGGCGGGCCACACGGTTGTCAATGGGTTAAGAACATTTTGAAGAATTATGATCGTAACCTGTTCGCTCGGAACTGCACATGCACACGTACCCATTTATGGCAACATCGCCAGAAAATTTGATGCCGTCGGTTTTTTTCTGGGTCAGAATATTCAGAAGTGTGGATTTCCCAGCACCACTGAAATGTGGTTTTACAGTAGATGAATCTATGAATAAATAACAACAATAACAATGAGATTTTTTCATAATTAGAATAATAAAAACAATAGTAACTAATATGTTCTGCATTGCTAAATAGTTTCTGACACCGTTTTGCCGCAGAATTTTGTCACAGTAAAACAGCTTTGTTCGGTGAACGTTTCGAACAAACTGTCGCTCGAGGACCCCTGATCCGTAGCATATTCGCTTAACCGGCCAAACGCCCCAGTTGCAAAACGTCCCAGGATCTCTTACTCAGAAGAACTCTGCCATGAATTTGATATTACGTGCAAAATCGTAGCCCACGTGATGGCATCACTGCTAAGATTTTGCACACCCACAGATGAAACTGAATTTGAACAACGGAATTGAGTGGCTGGCCGTTACAAGTAAACTCTGCCGTTCCAGCCGTTCACTTCTGCTCGTTTGCTTCGTGATCGACACCTATTTCTTAACTTGGCCTACACCTAACACCAAAGCCACAAAGAGGTATTATGTAATCTCGTGTTTGAGTTTTAAGCAGATGTTACAGCTGGCCCATGGACCAGTTGCTCCGAACTACCTAAGGTTCTCGGCGGCGCTGGAAAAAACTAAATCAAATCATTCCACCTAAACGGCTTTGTCCGAGAAAAACAAAACAGTCAGGCAGTTCAAGGTATTTTCTTCATGATGATGTCTTAAGAGTACCAAACAAGGAAGTTCTCCTGGACGAGGTCTATGACTTCAACTGTTCCTCAAGAAAACGATGGTCAAATGACGACAAATTTCATGCTGTGCGGTTTTACGGCAATTATTCTGCAAGTTGGATTTAATTTTTTACCCAAATGCTCATAATCCGAGCATAATAAGTACCTATTTTCGCTTTGTGCGATTATTTACTTATTTACCTTGCACCCATTATGAAAGTAACTTGTCCTGGATCTGCATAGCCAGAAACTGAAAAGTTTTGTTCACTTATTTGCTTACTCATAACACCACATGAAAGTATGCAAAAACGGAAAGAGTTACATCGACGAGCTTTTAGATTCAAAACCACAACAATTAATCAATATTGAAATTAATTTCGAGTGTAGGAACTATTGGCGGCCCTCCTCCTGCTACTTGAAACGAGTCCCCTACTTCCTCTATTCCTCTATTACAGAGAACCCCTTTACGTATTTTTATTCCTAGCCCAGAATTACTGCCTGCACGCTTATGAAGAGGAAGACGGTAGTCGTCAGAAGCACAACTGACGGACTACTGACGGTAAAGCTCATTAGCGAATGATCACAAGTGAACCCCATGAACGGCCTCCTCCACGTTTCTGAAATTCATAAAGACGGTTACCTCGATTAAGTATCAACTTCGCTTCACTAGAATACTTGGCTCGTCCAAAGCCTAACAGCGATCTTTCGGGGACAGTCTCCGCATAAATTTCACGCCACAGCAACCTATCTCCTTCCTGTGCATGATATTTGAATAAACAAAATATAAGTATATTTGGATCCTTTGATAGAGGAAGGAACACACCTTCGATTCTTGTTCCGAATCTGACTGTGTACTGCTATCGACAGCCACGGACATCACAACCTAAAAACGGTTTCGGTATATTTGGTTGCAAGAGTATTAATTTAGTATTCCTCAAAAATATGACACAACAGCAAGACAGAGCATGACCCTCAGGTAGTCAAGATGACCACACTTTAAAGTGAGACTATTTACCGCAACTACTGTCGCCCCATCCCCTCATCGGGCTTTCATTTTCAGTTCTGAATTTGCTGCGGCACGATCGTGTCCGAATCAACTTTGACACTCAAAGTTGACAGAAAAGAACCTTTCGGTTCGGTGAGGTGTGCATTCAAGGTACAAAGGTACTGTTTTCAACTTAATCGTTGTATATGTACCGATCCTTGATTCTCATGAATTGCCTGGACTGCAACTTTCGTCAATGGCGCTCAGCCCATATATTGTAGCAGTCGGACACTTTGGGGAACGTGAGCTGTATACCAAGAGTGCCTTCGAAAAAACTTGTGCACGAGAGACCTGTACTTCTAAGAATGAAAGTTCTCCTCATTTTAATAGGGATTAATAAGAAAGACCTTTTTAGAAAGACGAAATTCCCAACGTAACATGAAGAGCGGGGTTTGAAAGAATTCACTCGAGCTAAGAAAGTTCAGGATTTTGGATGCAAACAACTCAGAAGAGACGTGGGGATTGTGAGAATCATTGTGGACGGGTGCAGCAGACGAATGTGCTTAGATGGGCATCATACTTAGGTGTGAATGCTGAACCTGGTACTAGTGAAGCCAGAATTGCGAGCCAAGTGGAATGAAATGATCATAAGAGGAAATCCGAGTAAGTCTTCCGAGATCTACGCATCCTCCCAGAAAGCTATCTCGAATGACCCCCTCCACATGCAATAGGATACTCCAGGAACGTACTAAAAACTTTTCTATGAGCTTCAAAATGTGATAACACTGATACTGTCGAAGAGTAGTGATGAAATTTAGGTCTACTCAGATCAAACGAGCTTTATTGTTGATTACACCATACCACCCAACTCCTCCTACCCCCCCCCCCCCCCCCCCCCCCCCCTCCTTCACTCCACTGATCAATAACCTTTTCATTTACAAATAAACTTCCCTCAAATACCAAGTTTTGCTTTCACCACAACAATGGAGTACAAAATAAGGAAGGTGATTTACCGTCGACAAGTTGGAGTCCGTTTGTTCTGACGTGGTTTCCATCTGAGTAGGACTGACTTTTGTAGAGGGCGCATAAGTAGACAAGGCTACAAGTAACGATATCTCGTTATCAGTGGATAATCAGTACTTCACAAATCAAAAGTAAGCCGAAAATACTTGTTGAATTGAATCCACCTTCGGAGGTCCTTGTTGCTTCGGATTCCATACGATGAAAATTTGGTTGCCCTTCATCCTCCATCGAATCAACCTCTAGTGGCGCTTACAGCTAATAAATGAACCTTAATAAGACGAAATCGAATCAAGGTAATGATTACTGTATCAGTATGAAAGAAATCAATGAAGTAATCACGTGGAAGGACGGTTGCGCACTGCAAAAGGAATGGGCGTCTTTTCTACGAGTTGTCCCGCGGGGTTAACTTATCGAGTTCTTTTATGGACGGCTGCTGCAAGGCTTACCATAATTATCAACAGTATTCCATCTTAAATTGGAGGACATTCTCAGTCGTATTCTTTACAGTTAGATGGAACGCTTGATTGGTCTGCTTGGTGGGTCCCAGTTAGAGATTCGATCTGCTACATCATGGTAGCAGCATTACCTGCCCTATATCCACCAGAGAAATTGTTAATATGTCAAAACATCAAAAGAAGTATAGCGTCACCATATTTGGAAAAAAAAGCCGAAAAAATGAATCACATACCCAAGAAGTGATATTTGGAGAAATAGGCGGTGATTTTGATGCTGCGACTGACGATTTTGAAGGCCATGAGGTAGTACCGAAAGACTTCACTTCGGAATACACTATGCACCGAATTTTCCTGACTACAATCTTGACTGGCAGTAAGCGAATCCAGAGCGAGCTTTCCTTGCGTACAGGTTCATTCGCCGTACGTAAGAACGCCGGTGTCAAATCGTGGCTCTGACAAAATTGTTGGTAGAGGGTAATGACTGAAATGACGCTACAAACGAAGTAGTCTCAACGTAATGGGCTACTGTTATAAAAAAAAANAAAAAAAAACAATGTTATAGTGTGAATCCGTTCTTTGGCTGCTATATAAAACACCATATCCGGAGTACTGGCAACAGCTCCTCAGGAGAGGGAGGGGGGTGGCAGAGTACGGAGGTAAAAATCGGGGCAATTTATGGTCTTGAGACAGTGAATCGATAAGAAACTTCGACGCCTAAGGGGATAAATCTTGACGCTGGAGACAAAAAATAGTCTCAAAGCCCGTTCGAAATGACTTAAACGTTTCAGCTTGTAAGCCACTCTTGAGGAACATTCCAAGGGCCCGCCTTCCTAGAGAAAGATGGACCTGTCAGGTAAAGTCTGGAGCCACGTTGAACGAGATGCTTGCTGATAGCGCCTAACGAAAATCGAGGAGCTTTTCGAACAACTTGCTCTTCTCAGTCGTTGGTGATCAGGAAATTCTCTGAGGAAGCTTTAGGACATTCGCTTTCAAAAACCCTGACTTATTTATTAGTTTTTTTCTTCGCTGATCGATGTTTTTTGAAGCTGAATGATTACCACAGTCGAAAGCATCCTTCTTCCATTGTTACACCGACGAATTATGCGAGTTGTAGCAAATTTTTGAGTTTGATCGATAATTTTTTCGAGTGGGTACATGGGCGATAATGAGGTAGCTAGATAAAAAAGCTTACAATGAGTCAATCTCACTTGTGATAGTCATGTGTGGATGACTAAAATGAGATTCCCAAAGCTAAGCGGGCCTCAGTATATGGAGCTACCGGATCGATAATTATTCAGGGTTTTGTGATGACGCGAAACATTTTTGCAAACACTTTTTTGCTTTTTTAGGTATGACTAGATTCATTTATTATTCTTTCATTGCATTCCAAAATAAGCGCATTGATAGATTTTACTTTTAGAAACGACTCAGCACCAAGCCAAGGGGGGCGGCGACCCGGTCTGGCGAGATGGTACGACGACGGTATTAAGGCTCTAGTCTCGGAAACACAAAATGCTTGAAGGATATTAAGAACGCTGCAAGTTCCACCAAACGTTCTTACAAAGATCTTTTGGATTTTTTCCGAGTTCCCTCAAAATCTGAAGAATTTTATTTAAAAACAAACTTCACAGGATCACAATCATAGTAACTACGCCTGTGAATAATACTTAAGAGAACCTTATGTTTGCTGTTAAGAAGTATTGATTTAATGTGTAGATTCGGAAATCGCCAAATAATTTCTCGTCAGGACAGTTCAGCTTCTTCGTACTCGTATTGAAAACGCAATTAGTGCGATTCCTCGTATAAAAATAATGAAGATAAGAAGGATGGTGAAATTCACAAGATAGAAACCCGGATGGAACCCGAGAGACAAGAGAACCTGAAAAAAGCGGCCTGCTTTTATTCGTCATAAGAAGGACAGAATTTTTGATGCTTTTTTCGAAATTTTTAAGTCTTCATTTTGCGGAGAACATTTCAGCCCTGATAAGTTCAGAGCATCGCATATCCTTACAAGGAAAGCCTTCGTAGTGTAATACTGGGCGCGAGTTTTTCTCAATTTTCAATAGGCCTTTTCTCACAAAAAAAGGCAAAAATGGGAACCACGAATGGGATCTGAGAATCATGGTGTTCACAAAGTCTCTCCCACTTCACTCCTGTAAGGAATCCCCGAGCTGTACTTGATCCCCTCAATGGGAAGCCGCGCTGTTTCTGTACGCCAACCTGACACCATACTCGTACCGTGCTCAAAAAGTCTTCCCTTTCTGCTAGGTAAGATTGGGCCGGACAAGTTTGCTACAGTAATTCAGTACGAGAGACATTTATAAAGCAAAGTAAGCCATCTCACAAGGTAGAGGGGAACGAACTACTGCCCACGCGAAGTGGTGCTAAAGGATTGGCGCCATTGCCTAAGCAATTAGTGATGGCAAGGACGTGTATTGAAGAAGATCGCGATAAATGTTACAGTGCTCACCTCAACACCATTTTTTGCGGAGCACACTGTAGCGTCATAAGGATTTTCTGATGGGCAACCTGAGAAAAGTCGATAACTCAGTTGTTTCAAAGCAGTTGCAGGATAGCTCATATTATCGTCGTTAACAGGTGCGTCATAGAATGAAAAACTTTGAAAAAGAGAAGCAAAAAGAAGTCAACGAAAACAACTCTCATGGCCTACCGACTATTTCTTCAATCGGTTTGAGAAGAACGATCATGTAAGCCTCATACGCATACTTGAACCATGAGAGGTGGGGTAACACTGCGAAGTAAACAGGAATAGTCCTCAAGTCAATGAAAAACCCAGCTGAAATTAATTACAGTTGAGTTTCATGAGCAACGGATATATAGCTCCATCAAACTTGTTCGAACAATATCTGCACTTCGCGCTGTCGTGCGAGCGTGAGATGCTCGCTGACATTGTGGGGATCATTGCCAGGAGATGACTTCTCCACGTATTCGTAAAATGAATGTTCGGAGGGGGAGGAGGGAGGAGTTGTTCGGCTTGTGCGCGAAGTAGGAAACTGCAAGTTTTCCAAGTATCTCTTCACTTTTCTATCCTAGTCGACACCTCCTCTTTGTCGGGATAGGGCTTCCTCACTTATGGAGAGAGACTGAGTTAGCCTCCGTTCCCAAACGGGTATGTACCGATTCCTAAGAGAAAAGCCAGAATGGCTCATGCGAGAAATGACCCATGATTCGTTCCTGATACCACGATTGTGGTAGTGCATCACTATCCCCCACCCACCTCCACCTTGAAATTCTACAAAGATAAATTCGCATAATAATAGAAATATACATATGGATTCAGAGCTTCATGGGCATACCGAAAATAAGGGAACTGTTGATCACCATAGGAACAAAAATTACTGCAATCGTCAGACGTCCACAGATAGAAGCTGCTGCATAAGCTGAAAACGGTGGTCTAACCAGAGGTACTTTCAATCGTGATAACACTACTATAACTTTTGCGGGCTACCTTCACCAATGAATCAAAGAATAAGAAAATGGGATGGACTTACCAACTGAAGTACTAACATTTGCTACTGTAATATTGAGCAAATTGAAAAGCAGATATTGCGAGAATGATCTAGAATATCCTTGAAAAAAAGATTTTCCATGTGGTAACCGTGGGAAGAATTTTGAGGTGCTCACCTGCCATGAGGTAAATAATCAGTGAGTAAATTGTCGGGTGTATAAGGTACTGTACACTCTGAAACAGTCCTTTTTGCTTGATAATTTCTACCAAAAAATTCATTATTCATCATTGAAATTGTGCTGCATTATCTGGACTAATAACCTACGTCGGCCAGGACGACTGCAAGGAAGTACGCACTAGGGGCGTATGTATTCGCTTGATATTCGCGTATGACAGCGGGCAAATCATTGACAAGTACCTGAAGGAGGGGTATTTCGATTCCGATCTTGAAGCTACTCATGTATCCGCCAAACAGTGTCCATTTGAATTCTTAGGTTGGGTCACATTATTCCAACTACTCAGAAAAGTTTTTAGAAATATTGAAATACGGGCCTATGCTACAGGCGGGTGCGCTTCGTTGCGCGTGTCCGTCGGAACTAGGTCACGCCGCAGCCGTCGCACGCGGCGAGTCGGCCAGCGATATTTGACAGACGTCGCCATTGTCACTGGGGCATACGCTTTGCGTTTGGTCCACGGCAGTCAGTTCAAGAAGAAGATAACACAGACAAATGCAAATCATTTGCAACGACACTTGGTGGTACTGTAATATCATCTCGAGACCTCAGTGTGATGCGCCGCGCGCGAAGTGGGCGGGGTGACCTACTTCCGACGGACACGCGCAACGGACGTTCTCCGCTACAGGAGTACCACATTAATAACTCACATAGATGCTAAGATATAAGTAGATGTACGACATGTCCGAAACTGCATGTATAGCGGCTCCCTTGTGGTTCATCAAAGTATCCTTCGTAAACTTCGTATTAAAGTAAATCAATCCACTAATAAAGGATATTATCTGAAATGAGAGAATTTCCTCAGGAAACCTCGGCGGTGTATAAGTTTTTTGAAGGCCCCAGAATGAAGTGGGGGTGAGGAGAAAGGAATGTCAGGGCAAACCAAATTACCGTAACTATCGCCCAATGGAGTATGTCGAAAGGACAGATTAAAAGCTTTTGAGAGTCAAGCCCTTCATGAATCACTACAGCGCTAACTAGAGCAATTTAGAGGTGATGGATTGGCCTCGCTCATGACACAATGGTCATTCATACATGCAGAACCACAGCCTCGTAGTTCGAAACCTGACGAATCGCTCGAATAACCGGGGAATGTATGTATCCCAAAGACTCACGATGGTCTTGGTAAGGCGAGTAAGAAATCCCTGTCTGTCCCTCAACATGATTTTCGAAGACCTTAAAAACAGCCACCACAATTGAGCAAACCATGACGCAGAATACCTGAACTCGACTATTTATTGAAACTTGGAAAACTAGTTGGCTACGCATCCAAATCAACAAGGAATGCGATACGCGAACTGTCATAACATTGGGCGGTTTTCCAGTATGACCCCTCAACCTTGCAGGCTGGTTGGCAATCAATGGCTGCTTTCAGACCTCTACGATTCATCCGTCCGTCCGTCCGTCCGTCCGTCCGTCCGTCCGTCCGTTCGACGCGTGCTGCGACGGCGGCGCCTGACCGTTGTCGACACACTGGATCACTTGCCAGCGCTGTCAACACTACTCTAGCGACCGCCGTCGCAGCACGCGCTGAACGGACGGACGGACGGACGGACGGTCGGTCGTCGAACTCTGAAAGTAGCCAATGATGGCATACCACAACGGTAGGGCTATTTCTATTCATAGACTTGAAAAAGCCAATCAATATGTACTTCCAGTATGGTAGGTCTACCTGACCGCAGGTAGTTAGACTAATACGAAGTTCTGGAAGTGTAATAACGAAAGCTGCGAAGAAGAAGAGCAGCTATACATTTTTTCGAGCCCGGAGACAATATTTCGCCCAGAACGGAGGAAGTTTTGTCAAAACTTACTTTTCATCGCTCCCACTTATAAGTTTAGCCTTCTGTTCCGTAGAGGTTACAGTGAACATGTGGGTCATATGATGAACAACTTTTCCTTCCTCTGACGCTTCATACGAATCCACGAGATGCTGAAATTGCTAGACAATCAGTATATAACACCCTGAAACGTGAATCCAACCCATACCTTGATCCTATTTGCGTACTCTTCTTCAGTAATATCTTCATCTTTAGAAAGGACTTTGATAAAATGATCCGGTAAACTGGTGAATTTGGGGCTGGGATATCCACACCTGGAAATTGCAGGAAATTTTCATTGTTAGAGAAGACCTCTTCGAATATTGTGGTGTTTCATCCCTTGAAATGTTGAATGAGAGGCTCCCGAATGAAAAAGAAGATTAACATCATGGCCGAAACCGGGTGTTGATTCTAGTAGTTAAAGACTCAAACCCTCTCTGATGTATGGGTTATAATCAAAAGGTAGGGGAAACCTTTGGCTACGATGTGTGCCAAACTCCTCACTGTCCTCTTCCTACAATCAATTCCAGCATTTGAATAAAAAAAAACGACGTCCTGTTGGAAATTATCACTAAATTATCACGCTTGTGCACTCGTTTGGGTGCTTTTCTGAGCACCAATGCTGTGAATTGAAAGTTATCAAGACTTACGAGCTGAAGAAATCTCCGACTTGTGAGGCATTTCCTTGATAGGTGATCTGGCCGTGAGTTAGTAGTATCAACCTGGAGAAAAATGGCCAACATCCGGGCACAATGCGGTGACTCGGGATATTAATGTCGTTACTCCAGTAAGGCGTGTACCTGTCAGCCATTTCATAAACCTGACTTGAAGGTTGATGGATTGTACTGATTACAGTTTTCCCTTTGGATGCTAACATTTTAAGTGCCAGAGCAACCTAAACAAAAGCAATATTCCCTAGGTGAAATTGAAAAGTAATATATAAATAGAAGTATATTTGCGAAATCGTCGTACTTCCTACCCCTTTCCAGTGATCTACGCGTGCTATCAACGGAACACGTAAAGTTTCTTACTATACAAAATTAAAAATTCTGATAGATACCCGCAAAGCCATGGCCGAGTCCAGACCAGAAGTCGGCTCGTCACAGAACAGAATCGATGGATCCGCCAGAATCTGGAAACGCGACGATTACTAAAATCATGATGGACCTATTTTGTTCTCACCTCTGTAGCGAAAGCCAAGCGCTTGCGTTCTCCTCCCGATAAATTTTTTTGTAGTGCACTTCCGATTTTAGTGTTGCGACAGTTGCCCAAATTCATCTAGAATGACAAAAAAGTAGTAAAACTAGCCCCAAAATCGAAAAAATCATGAACTAGAATGACTCGAGAGCTATAGGAACAGCCTGCGGATAAAGGAAAAGGGCAGGATCGAGGAATGCGCTTCCTCTACAAGGATGTTTCTGCTATTGAGGGTAATCGATATCCATCAAGTTCGCCCACATGCTGCTATTCATGTCTTCCTCACTTCCAATTGTTGTAGCTTGTCAAGCAAGCATGTTAACCTACCGCCTGTATAACGCCTTCAACAATTTCCTTGCGCTCATCATCTGTCTTTTTTGCATGAGCACGAAGTCGAGCCTATAATTTGAGAGAAATCGGGGAAGTTATTGTCACTTCCATCTATTACTTGTTATGTTAATTCTCTTCCATTGTAAACTAGCTTGTCAGCACTGCAAAGATCTTGAAAAACTGAGCTGTTCGAAGACAGATCTCGTATTTCTGAAAGACGGCCAGAAAAGAGGTGAAACGAAGATCCACCATATTTTTGAAACGATCTCTTCAGCCGGCACCTCACAGGCTACCTTTTCCCTTCCTAGTCACATTTTATTTGCGCATGGCCTTTCCAAAGTACTGTATCAACACTTTATGAAACCAATGAGAACGCTCAGATTGGACGTTCGGTGGCATGATTTGTAAAGAGGTGGGAGAGTAAACATAGACCACATCAGAGTCGACTAGCTCGCAAATCCTTCCGTGGGGTGTGCGAGATTTATGACAACACACTTGAAGTAGATTTTTTTGGGCAGGAGGCTACCAGCTTCCCCCATGACCTTCTTTAAATGCTCGGGTAGGAGTCGATCACGAGCCACGGACTGGTTGATTCTATTCCATGGTCCCCAAAAGCCGGCCCTGGGCAAGTTTGAAGTCTAATGCGGTTTTGCAGAAGACTTACCGCAAACATCAGATGCTCTTGCACAGTGACGTTGGTGATAAACAAATCCTCCTGCTGTACGTATGCACTTACCTTTTTCATATCACCAGCTTCAAGCAAGCAGCTGAAAGAAGATAAGCTCTCGAATGACTATGGTGGGGTAATCAAAGCTCAGGGATAGGGGCTTCCTTCTCTCTCTATTCCGTGCCAGACTCAACGTCTTTGTACGAAATCGGTGACTTATGTACTTGTATAGGGCGTTAGTATGTCAGAGATTGGGAAAAGGAGAAGAAAGTTGCTCGGCAAGGTAGTAATTCAGATACTTGCAAAACCAAGTAGAATGAAACTGAAAATGATGGCTTACTCATTGATTGCAATATCGCCATAGACTCTGAGACTGTCATCACGTTTTTGTGTCAAGATGTTCAAAAGGGTTGTCTTGCCAGAGCCACTGGAATCAATCAATACAATCACCAAATAAAACTTGAACTTCGCACCTTTGAATTGATAAAGGATAAAGAATAGTCTCGAGGCGTTAATCGAGAGATGCGTCCAAGCATTCGACTTCTATTTAGAGTCGTAGTGGCGTAATGAATGAGTATGTGGCCTATACAATGACTTGCGGTGGCCAGCCGATGTACAAGTCNNNNATGCTTTTATCCTCCCAGACGAGTCTGGTACCAATTCACCGACCGCGAGGGGATAGAAGCCTTGGTTGCCTTAGGGGATATCGAGCCGGGATTTGAACCCGTGACCACGCATATGTGAAGTGCGCCACTTGCCACTACACCATCTCTGCCAATACCACTCCAATTTTAGTATATGTTCAGGGATGAACCTTGGGATTGATAGCGAAAAAGAATTTTTTACATCTCGATATCAACTATAACAAGTAATCGTGCGATTAAAATTGTATTAAGTAAATTCAAGAGGATTCAGTAACCTCACCTTGTTCCCATTATGTAGGTCAGCTGTCCCGGATCAGCGTATCCAGATACTGAAAGCATTGGTTTAGCAGCATCGGGCAAATTAAATGCAGTTCACACACAGGGAACCTTCCCAAGTTCTAGTGACCAACTTTCAAGCATAACCCGATAAGTACCTGAATCGACTAAACTTATGGCACCTCAACTGCGGCATCGAGTTGATTTTTCCCAGCTGGGCTCTAATCCCCAGAAAAAATAGATGTCTATGAGATGATAGAAATAAGAAGCTATGATGCTCACCTTGATTGAGCACCACTTTTGCTTCATGAGCGTCTCCGTGCTGCGGGTGAAAGCAGGATGTGGTTCGAATAACTTCTGCATAGATGTCCCGCCATATCACTCGCTTCGGTTCTTGTAAACTATCCTTTGGCTGAGAAGAAGTTATTAGGATTTAGATAACCCACTCTACTAGTACTACGTCAAGGTAGAAGCATACCTTGTATTTTGTGTCCTTGAACCCTATGCCTTCCGAGAGTGTTGGGGTCTGTGAAGATCCATTAACAATCGTAAAGGAATTGAAAATTTGCGAATAGAGGTTGTGCTTACCATAGGAATACTCCCATTGCTTCCCTTCCATTTCGGATTAGCACTTGAACCGCCACCCCAACGGGACCATATACTTGACTTCGGTGGAGAATCGACGATCTGAAAATATTTTGACGGCTGAGGCTCTGAGAGAGTTGCAAGTATGGTGAGTAAGCGTTCATGAGAGGAAGACTTGGAGAGATGCCCCGCGGGGTGCGCGGGACAGGATCCATTTCTCAATGGGTATGAGACAGGAGGCAACATTGTGGGTGCCGATACTGGATCTCTTCGAGCAGTGATCATGATTGATCCTGAGAGGGCTGTCTTAACAGTGGTACAACTTTTGTCGCTTCACCAGCATCAGGTAGGAAAACACGCCTCTTTCATGACGCCTTGCTTTTTTCCGTTGTCGTGTTCTGTTTATTTTCGTATCTGCTTACACTCCCTTATAAGCGCCCCTAACACCTGACCCGTTAGTCACCGATTTCTTCGAACGGGCGTTAGTGACATCTCCATTTTTCCCTGTCGTGAGCCACAGCAGTCCAATGGATGTTTCCACTCGAAAAACGCGAAGCATGGCATTCTTTTATGTCGTAGCTTTCAGAAAAAGATTTGACCACCGCCTGTCCTGATGTTCGCTCGATCTTGCGAAGGGTCCAGTCGGTTGACCGCTCTCGTCTAACGGTCATCACCGTGTCGTGTATCCTGGTCACCTGTTTTTCAGTTCCTAGATGCATGCAACTGGCTTCATTGGTGAGAAGGACTCTAAGTGAAGCAGGTTCTTACAAATGTGACTACGAAAAGTGACAATTAGTACGATGTCGATTTCCGAGACCAATAAATCTGCTTCGGGATGCGTCCACGAGTTCAGTTTCCATTTACGGTCGTAATGGTGGGGATTGGATATGTGTTTGATGGCCAAGTCGGCGCTTTCGTCTTCGGCAAGGTGTCAAAGCTGTTATCACAGGAAGGAAAGTCAATTAGAGTAACTTCAGAACGCGCGCGTGGCTGTTCGATCTCAGCACGAGGATCGCTACGGCGTCTCCTGAACCACACTCTACTCAAACGATGACGAACTCACGGGTAACGGAACTTCTCCCCTATCGCGGCATTCTCCCTTGCGGCATGCGGCAAATGTCACTGCAGTTACCGTACTCACCTCGCCTCCCGCCGATCGATAGGACGCGATATTTTTCCTTGTCTAGCTTGCTTTTTTATTGGATTTTATCGTTTTTTCTTCTGTTTCTTCTTAGTTTTCATGTTTATCAGACTTGATTAATTAAAATGACTCCTCCTAAGTAAGCGGCGATCAAGACTGCATTGAAATTGAAGAAAGCGGTCAGCCAATTCACATAATTAAAGGACTCCCTACCTTACAAATTGCGCGCTCCAAACTTCCATCGCAATCCTGCGATAGGCGGCGGGTGCGGCGTGTGCGACGCCGTGTTAGGGGAGAAGTTCCCGGACCCCGAACTCACAGCTATTTACTGTGTCAACCCTAGATTCAGGTCGTCTCACGAGTGGGGCTGAATCGATCACTGGGAAACACCATGACGGTGCATTTTCATTTTCTTTTCCATACTGGTGACTAGAAGCAACACTTCCATCTCTCTCATCCCCCTCAAACGCGCCCTGCATTACTTTTAGGGAGAGGAGAAGGGGTCACCGTCCATCACTGAAGGAGCCTCCCTTCACTTTTCCTTTTCCATCACACGCATAGAAATGGTGCCGAATAAGACATTTTCTTAAAAGGAATATCTGACATACCGGTGATACATTTATTTCGGTACTTTCTTCGCTACGCTCTACGTGTTTCTCACTCCCGCTACGCAAGCGAATACTGGGTTTCGACGTACTCGGAGTAGTAGGAGTCTGAAAGTGAATTTAATCCTTACACGAAAAATATAGCAGCGTTTACTTAACTGCTTTACTTAATTACATTGTAATTCTGCGGTCTGATGAATCAGTAATGCATGAGCTTGGTTGGTTCTGGTAGCCGGAATGACCAAAACGGGAGATGAATCAAGGTGCAGATCGCTTCCAGTTGGTAACCTTTTGGGAATCCGAGCGGAGAAGAACGAAGCTGCTCAGTGGAAGGAGCACCAAGAGAGCACTGAGGGGGACACGTCAAGCTCCTAAGGGCTCGACCTTAGGACATTCCAGCTAATTCTATCAAAGACGCTTCATCGCTTAGATCTTCCAATGAGATTTTGTACTCGCTTCCGTAGTCTGTTGTGCAACGATTAATGGATCTTGGGTAGGTGTTTATACCCAATACATTCCTAGAGGAAGCAATGCAATCCTTATTTCTTTTCATATAAGTAAGTAATTTGGCATGTAGGTCTGTCGCTTCGTTAACCTGTCATCGGTATGCAAAACCTTCCAAGAAGTGGAAGGGAACTGCTATGGAAGCCCACCACTCACAGTAAAGAGGACATACAAAAGTAAGGTTTATGTGATAATATGATAAAGTTGAGCTCGCAAAAATCATAACATGGACGCATACTTCGCCTGAATTTCTACCGCTTGATAGCATTTACCTAGATTTGTACCGTGTAGATCAGGTAATCATGATTTTCATGAGCTCTGTTCTGCAGTGGTGGAGTACCTTCTCCCCGAAAATCGCGTCGCGTTCGCCGCACCCGATCGAGCGCGGTCGCACGCTGTGAAGAAAATGGTTTGAATTGCATGGTAACCGCTGAGGAACCATTGCCGTTTCCCGCGAAATTTCGGGGATAAGTACCGCCACTCGTTCTGCAGTATAGCCACCAACTTGCCGTGGGTTAGAGTTGTTGGGGTGGTTAGAACTGCGGTATTGAACGATTTCGGCAGAGAAAATTTCAGCAAGAATGATAGATAGTCACTAACGATACTCTGCCGTTCATGCCATTATGCCGTCCCTGTGAGTCGTAAATATGTGGCTCACTGAGTAATCCTCATGATGACGAGCATAATGGCAGAGAAACTTCGAGAAGTCGAGAGACACCACCGCCACCTACACCCCACTGCTAATTAAAATGAAATGTGGGTGAAAATGTAGTTGGGGGGGGGGGG